TGTCCCGGTATAACAGGGGTTTTAGTATAACTGCGGGAAAAATCGATAAACAAGTATACGTAAATCAGAGATATGGCTTTAAGTCTCCTTTTTTTCTATGTAATCAGCTGTTGACAGGGGTTCGATCAAAGTTTGCTCAAAAATATTAATTATGTAAAGGGCACCAGCTTGGAACTCTTTGCCAACCTGTCCAGCAATCTGAAAACTATTTTACGTGACCCTTCCCCTCACGAGGATTGGGAACCGAGTCAAAGTAAAACTGTGAGACAAATTTCAAGGAGAAGTATGCTCCAACTTTTTCTTTCTTTCTCTGCCAAGTTGAAACAAGATTAACATCTTTTTGCGATTTGAGATTCCAAAGAATAGAAAAACAAACTTATAATAATAATAATAAATAAGTGTAGCCTCTGAACGTACCAGGAAAGAGATCAGAGTATGCTAGAACATAGCAGGTTAAGTGGCAAGGGTGCCGGGCAAGATTAAAGATGTCGGCGTCCTTATACTCACGTGAAGATAATTTATGAGAGGTCAGTTAATCTTTGAGATCCCAAAACACGTAGACGTCATGATTTCGCATGTACCTTTTTATGATGGTGATGTGAAATAAATGGCTTTGTGGAACATAATACTCCTTAAAGACTCCTTTATTAATCTAGCGGATGAAGTGAGGTACGATCCTCTCTCCACTGGTCCATTAGTCCAGTGATCTAGATTTTACTTTTATTTATTTATTTTACTGAGCAGGAAAATATGCAAATCAACACGAAGTGAAGTCTAAGCTTAATGACGAGTATAAAAGTTGTATAAAATGTATTTCGGGTCACACGAAGGAGTACGACAAACTGCTGAATGCATCACTGATTCATAAATAATAATAGTAGGGTGATAATGTGAAAATTTCATACACAAGGAAACGAAACGAAACCCAATGAAACGTCAACAATGCCTGTTAAGATATTTTAAAGTACCTGAGGTCACGGACAAATGCGGAATGATTCCAGGGAATTTTTCACTAAATCCACATGCTTCTGTATTCAATCCTATCGATGCTCCTTCGGTAAAAACTCCATGAGGATGATATCCAAAAATATAGTTCTTCTGTGGATCGAGGTCTCTAGTTTTAACGAGTGTGATAGGATAGTAATCCCTCATGAACTTGAAAATAGGGAGCCGTCTCATGAAATTCCTCAGAAGATCTCTTCCACCACGTTCAGGGGTTTTCCACTCGGCGAGATACGTCCATGACAAATAAAGAAGCACAAACGGCCACAAAGGTGTATAAAAGAACAATTGATACAGAATGATGATGCTCGGGATGTGTGTGGCTCCAGAGAACTGCACCACATGAAGTAGTGTAACACTCAAAGTTTGCAGAAAGTGGTTAAACTTAGCCCTGTTGGAAAACATTTTTTGGGTTCTATGCATAAACAACTGACCAGAAAAGTAAGAAAGCAACGTAACCTATTTCAGCGTGACCGCTGTTAGCTGTTCCTGTAAGCCTGATGACGTCATAGTTAAGCCGCTTGTCAACAACGGGAAATTCAAGAATAGTGAAAGTAAGGAATTTTGAGGAGTTACGGATCGGTAAGCTTACATCATCATTATAAAATGTTTTCAGTCTTTTCTTGGTCTCACTTTGTTTTTCAAAGCATTGGGCTAACGAACATCAACTTTAGAAAATCTCTAATAACCAAATCATCTTGAAACACCCTCTGCGAAGCAACCCAAGTAACTGCAAAAGGTAAGTTGAGGCCATAACAAATAGAAATCGCAAATTTCACCTGTTTTATCGTCACATTTTTAGCTCTACCTCCCCCACTGGGAAGAGCCACAAAATCCTGGTTTCCAGAATCACCCGATTTTGCAAGGGGTCTTGGTAGACTGGGCCTGGGGGTATCGTTCGGAAATAATTACGTCACTAAAATGTGAGAGGTATCCTTTGTCAGCGGCGTCGCACGATGACGCCGGAAGAGAAGTGCAAGATGGCCGTCGGAGCTGTGAAGATTGAAGCAGATGCTTATATGGTTTGTTTGACTCACGCTCTATCGACTGAAAGGGAAGAAGTTATGGGCTTGTTAATTGGAGAGGTATTTTATTGTGGTCATTGCCACTTTTCAGCTGTTTTGAAGTAATGGGTATAAAAGACGCTTCTTTTGAATTGTAAACTGTCCCCAACTGCCTCACTAGTGAAATGAAACTTTGTAAATATTGTGGGTATATGGTTGGAATTGTATATGTATTGGAATTTTTCTTATCACTAAGAAACTTTAGTCTGCAGAATTTTGATTTCTCGAACTGTTGCTGGTTAAAAACTCCCAATCCCTCGTGTATTCGAGTCAAAGACAGCTGGCTTAATTTTATTATTTAGCTATACATTGGTTGTCACAATCTACTGATTTTCGTTTCCCCGGGACATTTCCATTCTCCATATATCGATCTAAATGCTCTTCGTTTTAAATTGTACTCTCATATATTTGGTGTATGATCTCTTTCTTCTGTTCCTCTTCTAGGTTGAGGATGAGAGAGTAGCTCATATTTATTCAGTTATCATGCTTCAGAGACTGGACAAGCGGAAGGATCGGGTGGAGATTTCTCCAGAACAATTGTCAGATGCCTCAACACAGGCAGAGGTAAACTATCATGATCTTAACTGGTCGAAGAAATGGGTCAACAAGCTGCAATCTTCAATTGATGGTTTGACTTTATAATTTAAGGCAACTTTAAATCATGGGACAAACCATTAAGTGTTCATTCATGGTTATAAAAGCAATGCTTAAACAGATAAGTTGCAATACTTTTCTTCTGATATTTCAGAGGCTTGGTATGTTGACGTCAAAACAGCGACCAATGAGGGTGATTGGTTGGTATCATTCTCATCCTCACATTACTGTTTGGCCATCACATGTTGGTAAGTTCCTGATGTGATAGCATGCGATCATTAGTATAAAGTCAAGCCTGATGCCTTAACCCTTATTGTCAACTATACAATTGTTATATTGTTAGTTCAGAGAATTTAGTATTGGCTCAACTAATTATCCCCAAATTGATATTTTTCTTTATTTTCATCTCTTATCTGGTTGATATTATATTGATATTGAAAGGAGAAATTCTGTCTTGGTCACTCATGGGAGTTAAAGGGTTAAACCCTTTCACCAAGAAATAAATATTATTATTTGAGAACTGTCTAATGGCTGTCTGATAATCAGCTTCATGAGACTGTTAGGCTAGGACCCCTGTTATCTTTAGACATTAGAGGGATGATATATTAAATTGGGAAAAGGAAAAAAAGCAGTTATAGACAGAGGTCAAGAGATTTGCCCAAATGAGATGGATGTCCTTATTGTCAATGTATATCATGCTTTCCTAATGAGTTACAATGAAATGACACTTAAGTGGTAAGTAGTGGGAAAAAGGGTAATTTTAGTATTATCAACTGAGTTGATAATGTAAATTGGCCACAGTTAAGAGTTTAAAAGCTGGAGTTTTGAGTGTTAGCCCTTCTTCAATTGCTCTGATGATGGGCTAATGCTCAAAATGTCCACTTTTAAACTCTTTACAGAGGCCAATTTATATTATCAACTCAGTTGATTATCCTAAATTACCCTGTTATACTCTCTCACCAATGCAGCCCTGCAGTTTCCTTAGAAACTTACCTTCTTTATTCATTAGTGTAAAAAAAGGTAGACCGTGAATTGATGCAGTAATGAAGTAATTTTTATGTGTGCAATAGACCTACGGACTCAGGCTTCTTACCAATTTATGGATGCAGGATTTGTTGGCCTTATCTTCTCTTGTTTCAACACCGATACAAATTTGGTGAGTGGCTTACATGTAGTATTTAACCCTTTCACTTCCAAATGCCATTAGTTATTCTACTTACTGTCTGCCATACTATTCAACTTATGTTAGTTTGGAGAGTTAGGAATTGGATCAATTAGTAATCTCCTAATTGATACTATTCTTTGTCAACACTTGTCTGCTTGATATTGTATTGTTATTATTGTGAGGAGAAATTCTATTTTAGTCACTTGTGGGAGTTAAAGGGTTAACTTTTCTTGAACTTGACTGCCATAAAATAATAATTACAGGAATGTGGCAATCTCTTTTGTAACATTTTATTGACTTAGTTCTTATGGTCTGAAGTCAAAGTAAATACACATTTTCATAGATATCACTTAAGTTCTGTCATTGGTAAAAATGAAAATTTGCCCCTTTCTCCTTGGTTTCCTTGGTATCAAGCCTTGATATAGCATGTGATTCTCTCATGATGAATACCAGCTATCCAGTACTCACTCCAAACAAAGGTAGTCTGGTCAGTAGATTACTGGGTGGTGTAATGTTGCTTGACCCTTCACACCCTAACATCAGTATGTATATTCTCCTTACTGTTCTTTATACATTTCCTGGAGTGCTGACAAGGAGAGTTTGTTTAAAATCAAAAGCTTCATAAATTGGTGATCATTTCCTTGATTCTCGTGATCTAAATGTTTGATTCAGGGCTGATATTGTAAGGAGAAATTAGAAGCTGGTCAATCTTAGGGGTGAAAAGGTTACAGTTTCTTTTTCCTTAACCAAACATTAATATCTTGTCACCACTCTATTATTAACGGTTCTCCAAAGGTAACTTTGAAAAAGTTAAGCTTGGAGCCCGGTTTAGTAACTTTTTTTACCCGCATGATTCTTTCAGGGTGGCCATTTAAAAGTTTATTGTTTTCAGTCAGTGAACATCAAGCCTGAGGGGAGTCCTCCACAGTAAGTTCACTTTCCATACTCCTATAGTCACCAGGAAAAACCAGCTGAAATAGCTGATACAAACTCCAAGCAGCAGCATTCAGATCTGTTTTGTTCAAGACACAAATTGAAAGCATCATCTACCAGTGTCTGGTTTAAATATATAATTGAATTCCATGTTCAGAGTTTGCATGGATGTTCATGCTTACTATAAGTTTAACTGAATAGTTCACAGACATGTAATCTGATGAAATAACATAGTATCCATACTGTCTTTTATTTGCCACATACTTTCAAACTTGGTGACAGCCCTGTAGGGGTATCTTTGGTCAGTTCTTGTCATGTATTAGGTGTAGCAGCTACATGTATCTAATTCAATTTGATATGTGGACTTGATTTAGATGGTTTGATCTCAGTTTTTTCTAAAGGGTGCCTTAGGCCATGTAATATATATGTATTAATTTTTATAACCAAGTGCTCTGTATTTTCTTATTGCATCAGATATCAGCGAGCTGACATTGAGCTTCAAATAGTTCATACAGAGGTTTTGTCAAAGGCTACTTTAAACAGCTTGTCAGAACTGCCACAAATACTATCAAAGGTGAGGTGATAGAATGATTCCTTAAAGTGATTCATTTCAAAAACTAAACTCATCAACAACAAAAAAAACAAAGTCTGTGAAGACCACCTTTGCATAGATATACATGCATAGATAAACTTTTCATTTCCCTATCAAAGGATTTATTTGGACTCTAGAATCATTTGTAAGTTGCCTACCAAAACTACAGTCAACTAGATAAAAAGAGGATAAGTTTCTAAAGAAACTGTGGTGCTGCATTGGTGGGAGAGTATAACAGACAATTTAGTGTTAACAACTGAGTTGAAAACATAAATTGGCCACTGTAAAGAGTTTAACCCTTTAACTCCCAGAGCAAATGTTTCATTCTCCTTACTGTCAACCATACAATTCTTGTAATGCTAGTTTGGAGAATTAAGTATTGGATCAAGTAATTATCCCCAAATTGATATTTTTCTTTATTCTCATCACTTATCTGGTTAAAATTGTATTGTAAGGAAAAATTCTGTCTTGGTCACTCAATTGCCCTTTCGTTGCCCTTTGATAGCCCTTTTTCACAAAGGGCTAATGCTCGAAATGTCAGCCTTTCACCTTGTTATGGTGGCCAATTTATGTTTTCAACTCAGTTGTTAACACTAAATTACCTGTTACAGTCAACTAGGTTTACTATGCAATTGATCACTGGTGAAGTCCAGTAGGAAACTTACCCAGAGTAGTTAATTGATAAATTTTAGTGTGTGTCTTTATTTAAATGTTGATTAAATCTAACACCTATTGCTTAAAATATAAACCATCAGTTCAAATACGAAAAAAATGATTTTAAAAGAAAATAATGGTTGTTGATTTGCACCAGGTTACCCTTGAACCAATGACAGTACTTTACTCCAATACTTGACCACTTAATAAATGCAGAAAGACATTGTTGATGCCTTGTTTTTTTTTTTTATTCATTAAAGGAAGAAGAAGAGGCATACAGTAAAACTTTGAAGTAAGTTTTCTATCAACAGAAATGCTTGCTAAAAAAATATTATCGTTTTACCTTTTAGTTTTGTGTACAGCTTAGTATATTCCCTAGTGCTGATGTTTATCCACAAAGAGACTCTAACAGAAACTAATGACACTAGACAAAGGGTTTGTATCGATGTTAACCCTTTCACTCCCAGATCAAATTTGTAATTCTCTTTATTGTCAACCATACAATTCCTATGATGTTAGTTCAGAGAATTTAGTATTGGATCAACTAATTATCCCCAAATTGATATTTTATCTGGTTGATATTGTATTGATATTGTAAGGAGAAATTCTGTCTTGGTCACTCATGGGAGTTTAAAGGTTCAAGGGGTTATTAGTCCATGTTCATTTAACTCTTTTCACTCCCAAGATCTTATTAATAATTCTCCCTACTGTTTGCTATACAATTCTTAAGGTATTAGTGTGGAGAATTTGGAACTGGATAAACTAGTCTCCTAATTGATACATTTCTTTAATATCATTTCTTGTCTGCTTGATATTGAATTGAAAGGTCAAGGAGAAGTTCTGTCTTGGTTGCAAAATGCCAAGTGAGAGTAGATTATTGGGATAAGATATGCTTTGAAGTATTTTTGTGTGGAAAGGGTGAACAAGTCATGAGTCAAGTTTATCAAAACTTGCTCTGCCTTAATCCAGATTTAGTTGGTATGGCGAAGCAATAGTGTGCTCCAGAGGTAGTGGTGGCCAGCATTTTAACCAACTACTTGATTTAAAGCTTAAAAGTGCTGGCTGGTTTAATTATAAAAAGCAGTAAAATACTTGTCTTGTTCTGGTACAAATTTTACCCATTGTTGGCTGGTGTTATTTTCATGCCTGGCTTCTCAAAAGAAAAAAGAAACTCTGAAGAGTTTTTTTTAAAACTAATCCTGGATTTATTTCATAATTTCATAATTAAAATTGTGTTTTGAACAATGCAGCCAAGGTTCTTTCAAAATGCTCAGACATTTTTTCTGCTCTGAGTCATTTTATTCAAGTGATCACAGCTGGGTATTCTGTCCACTTGTATGAAACTTAAATTTACCATTTTTATTAACAGCTCTAAGGATTTATTAACAGCAGTTCATAATAGTACAGGTTGGTAGAGGCATTTATTGAAACTATAATGTGATTTTAGTCATTTTGTGAACAGTGTTTTAGAAAATTTGGTAGAGGTGGGATTCTTGGATGGACAAATTGCTTACTCCCATAGCCCTTGTTGAGTCAGCCCTGTGAATATCTTTCCATGAACTTTTGTGCTGCAAGTGATTAACAGATTGTACTTCTTCTCTTTTGTGACCATGCAATGTACTTGCCTTAAGTTCCTGAGTGTGTGTTCTTAGCAGAGAACAGAATTCTTGAAATAGCAAATTTTCAACTTCTTTTCATTTAATCTTGAAAACTTCAGCAGTACTCTGTCTTCAATTGTATTTGATCAAAATTAGTAAATTAATAAGCGGAGGGAATAAGTTTATTCTGTCATTTAAAAAGTCATCAGTGTTATTCCAGGTCATTCCATCCTACTCGCATTTCACCCATCTCCCCACTCATTCCTCTTCACCCTCTACTATCCTTACTCCCCCACTTCACTCCCACCCCACCCCCTCTCCCCCACTCCCCCCTCCCCACTCTTTGCTTCCCCCAATTCTGCATTACTCAGTATCTCTTCTTACCTTATTTCTGTTTTGATTAAATGCTTTTTTTTATTATTTTGGCAGTTTTTACCAAGGCTTTGTGTCAGCTCATGGAGGTTATGTGTGGACCTCTTCTTCAAACTCTGGAGAACAGATTACAGGTGAATCTCAAAAGAACAGCTGCGCTGGAAACCGAGAAAGAGATGTTGGAGAAAGAGATAAACAGTGTGAAGGCGGAATTACAGGGATCAATGTGAGAGAGAGAGACAGCTGAGCTATTTATAACAAAGATTATAAATGAAAATAAGCTTAAAGAGAACTCGGTCACTTCAGAAAGACTGAGATGCGAGATAGGGTAAAGATATGGCGAATGTCTTCTTGTGGAGAAATAAAAATATCCCCCTTCCTTTTACCCCTGCGAGAGTCAGAGAAAGTGTGGAGATTGGAACCGAAAGTGCGCGGGGATGACGCGTGCCTGAAGGAACCATTGAGACACTCTTGGATTAATTGTTCCTGGTGCTCATGTCGGAGGTACAGATTTGGAAAGCATGAAATTTTTGTGGCTTTTTTTCCCAAAGACACATCTTTCAAGTCAAGTGTGAGGAGACTCGTGTTTTATTTAGAAGAACCTTGATGTTGATACTCTGATGTGTCGTGAGTTTAACCCTTCAACTCCCAGACATTCTCAACATGTATAACTTCTCCCTATAATATCCATACATTATCCCGCGAAAATGTAATGAGAATACTCAAACTTATCAGGCAGAAGTTACTATTTTGATCAAACAGCAAATTCTTGTCACTAATTTACAAGGAAATGTGTAGCAGCTCTAGGGGAGAATTGACAATCATATCTTTGGAGTTTAAGGGTTAAAACACTCTAGGTATGATATTTCTTTGTTTTAAAAGAAGTGTTTGGTTTTACCTCAAATGGTACATATCGGTTGATCTGTCTAAATCTTTTTCTATGGAGTGCTCACAAATTTGATCTCGAGAAAAAATTTGAAATAAAAGTAAATTTCAGAGACACCGCTTCTCGAAGAAAAAAATGCTTCCACGATTGGTACATATACCTACTCAAACTTGATTTAAACACGAAATTTGAGTTTATCTACAAAGGCGTATGACTTCGTGTTAAATATGATAAAATACAATGAAAATATAAATTCTAATAAGAATATAAAATTTACATGTCTATCAAATGATACGTTAATAAAATACATTGAAATACGATATAATACATGCTTGTGATATTAAATGTTAAAATTGAAAAAACTAAGAATTTTCCTCTTAAATTCATATAAATTGGTTATGTTGTATTGCTGAAATGCACTAGCCTCCACAGCTTTTTATGGGAAATTTACTCAATTGACATCCAAAAAATGATTGAAATCCATTGTCACACAGTAAACCCTTGTTCAACCACAGGTGGCCCAAGCTCACGTCTCGAGAAAGAGCCAACGATGAATTCGTGAACGCGTCACGCGTTGTGTGACTCGGTGTTAAGTTACGGGAGGAACCGTTGAAAATTTGAACACGTTATAAGGAATAGTATGGGGAACGAAATGTGGTCGATTTGCAATGTCAAAAGACGAAGTCTTGACTTCGTCTTTTGACATGGATAACAGTGATGGTAAAGCAAGCTTAAAACGGCAGAAATCGCCAGAAACTACGACGGATACACGGGGCATGAGTGAGTTTTATTGATTTTACATGTAAAATATTCATATTTTGAAATATTTATCGTTGTAAATCGACCATATTTCGTTCCCCATACTATTCCTTATAACGTGTTCAAATTTTCAACGGTTCCTCCCGTAACTTAACACCGAGTCACACAATGCGTGACGCGTTCATGAATTCATTGTTGGCTTTTTCTCGAGACGTGAGCTTGGGCTGCCTGTGGTTCTAATACTGATTATTAACAACGTCACTGATAAGTCAATGGCGTTGTTTTGTGGCAAAAGACTGGAATATTTCTCGGAATGGGAAGGAGTTAGTTTTCTCGAGGAAACTACGATCTAAAACTTTGCAAATGGCCTTGTACAATTAAAAGCAGGCTTTTTGGCGCCTGCAGTGTTCTTCGCTTCAACCACTGCAAACAAATGAGTCGTGAAGTAACACAACGTCAGAGCAGTCAGAATGAAAGCAACAAGCATATGCTTACGCCATTTCTTCTTCCAAACTCGCACCACCGCAACATTTAAATAAGACATTTGCAACCAAAACGAGAACGAATTGAAGAAGAAATCGATACTTAGAGCAATAGACACGCGAACAAAAAACTGTGTTACAAATTGGACGTTGGATGAGGACGATGTTTCAGGGGAGTACATGAATTTAAACAGCTGTATGAATCCAACGGCTGCGATCAGAGCTGTTGATTCTCCGAGAATAATCTGAATGCTCATGTCTGCGATGAAGCGCATACTCCTCGGGGTGCGAAATTTATTTGCGGCAATGAACGTCTCTCTACCGTCTCGTTTCAGTTTCTTGTAAATAAAATACCAAAAGTAATCCCGCAAAACAATGGTCACCCTTTCTAGCAAATCCGCTGCGCCGTGTGCGAAGCTCAGCGCTATGAACAGTCGAAGGCTGGTGAGATCTGCCTGCATCACACGGAAAACGATGGCGGAGGCGTAATACAGGACACTCAAAAGCACGTGCGCGTCTCCTGGGTGAAAGAAGTCGATTCTTTGCGCCGCCAAACGCACGATGACCTTTGGTATGGCAGTTACAAGCGGGAGTCCGCCAGCGATGATCACTCTTATGGTTTCATTTGCTTCTCTATACAGCGGAATCAGCTTATAAACAAGGTAAAATGTGATCGGTATGCCAAAAGCAAACTGAGCCGTCAGCATCGCAGAAACTTTCAAGGTTTTTTTTATCTTAGATCTCCTTGTTGTCAGTGCTTCGTTATTCTTTGCGACTTCTCTACCAAGTAGTAAACTGTTCATGAGCAAAAGCGACACGAACAGACCGTTCAGAGGAAGCGACCTCCAGGATACCATGTAGTTTCCATAAACCTGAAGATATAGTCTATAGCAGCTATCAAGAAACGCACCGAGCAAATTCAGGGTCAGCAGGTTCAGTTTCTTAATCACCGGCCATCCAAACATCACCAGCACGACAAGAAGTGTCCACATTTGAACAACGTAAGCTTCGCTAGTTGCCGCAGTAACTATCACTGCCTGAGTCCGTTTAGTAAGTGCCTTCCAATTTGTAGACTGCTTATCAAAGCAGAGATCTACGGAATTAAAGTCTAAAATCAGTATTAGAATAGCAAGCGAACCGAGTGCCATCCCACCTACAATTTGAATGTAAAATGCGTGTTTCATGGCCTTCCAAAGCGACATCCACCATTTTTCTGGCCGAGATCTCTTCCATGCCATTTTGCTATCGTCGTCTGGTGGCGCATCGTACTCCTGGAAGACCGTGTCTTGCGGATTGAACTTTGTAAAATCTTGCAAAGGATCTTGTCGTTCTGCCAAAGGGAGGTTTTCAAGGATTCCCTGCCCCTGATAAGATTGAATCACACCGGCTGTGAACGTTTCTGCTAAATATGTTAGCACTCCTTCGAGCGAGAACGGAGTTGCTGCCATCTTCAAGGCGAATTCAGCGGAGTTTTTCAGGGGATGCTCTGTCTTTCTGTTGATACAGTTCAGCTCCAAAGAAAGCTCTCTTGCTTCTTTACAACGAGCACAATAAACCAGACAGTTAACAAATATTTACCTTTGAATCCTCGTAGAACTGAATATAAACTGTTGGTTAAAGTTCACATTACAGTCTTGGTCAATTCTTGGAAAGCAAAAGGAAGTAAAACATAAATGTACTTATTCTTTCTTTACAATTTCCATATTTGGATAACAAGGAAGAGAAAAAACATTATCGACTAATATCTTACGAGTCGTGTATTGCGTAACAATAACCCCTGATCGAAGACGTCGGATCCATAAGTTAGCCTTAGAACCAGTTTGTACGTTATTGCATGACGTTAGGACACCAAAGTAGACAAAACTCATGGAATTTGTTCAAGGTAACGTGGTTATATCTTGTCAGGCACAATTGGAGGAAGCTTATTACCAAATATGCTGAGGTGCTCGAGAAAATACTGTACGTGTTCGTATCAGACACCGAGGCATATTCCTTTCAACAGAGCGAAACCTGGCTTAATTAACTAATTGTTCAGTGCAAATGAAGGTAACTAATCTTTCTTTCTTTTCCGGTTTGACCTCTTTCATACAGTCCGTTCTCGACAACATAGGCAGTGAGTCAATTTTCCTCCACAAGGAAAGGGAATCACTGCGGTTCAAATGCTAAGAGTAGGATCAGTTAAACATTTTTGCAATTATCTATTGACTCCTTCCGAACATATCAGGCATTCCAAAGGTGGCGTTCTACAAAAAGAAAAAAACCCGTGGCTCTACGTTGCTAAGGTGACAAAACTTGGGTGTTCAATGAGCATCATAGGACCTGACATTTACGACTTATTTTTATCGACAATATCCGTTGTGAATAAGGTTTGAAAGGAACGAATCGATCAAATCAATAGAGAACTAACAATAAGAAATGAATACAAATGCTTAAATAGCTAGAGTCATACTATTTTCCGTCAAAAATATAGTTATGATTCTTCAAATTTGATGCTGATGATTAGTACCAAGTTATGGCGGACTCGACGACAATAAAACACATTCTCCCTTGGAATCTAGTTTCGGCATCCTTATTTGTTTTTACTTTATTTCTATGTTTTTTTTTCTTCAATTAATCAGTATTCGGTGGGGGCACTGCTTCCGTCAAGAGAATTTTAAAAACAATGAATGAGTTACCAGGAATCGGATCCTTGTGTTTGTGCAAAGTTTTCTGGGATATTCCGATAAATCTCGACCTCAGTCGAAGAGGTTCTCGCGAAGGCCACAAACCATTACACTTTGTAAATGAACCCAAAATTTCTGGTTAATATCATTCTTTGTGTACAGCCCCCATGACATCATTTGCGAGAAAAAATTCAGAAATCTGAAATGCGGCAATCTGATCGGTACAAGATACATACCCTAACGCGGCAATCTGATCGGTA